AAATATTTTACGTATATTAAAATTTGAGAATTTATATAAGGATTATGGTATTTTTGGACAAAGCAATAAAGTCATACCAATTATAGATCATGTTTGAAACAAAAATATAATTTACATCTTCGCGAAACAGAAATAATCTTTCGAAAAAATTATCTCTAATTTATTTAATCTCTGTTTCAACAATGAATAAGCTACTCGGGAGATTGTAGAATATTTATAATTTAAAAGATTACATAGTATTAGCTCTTGAGTTAAATTTTAATTTTTATAAATTACAAGTAACATTTTATTAATAATAACTTTTATTTCTACATTATTATTATTGTACATACGTTAATTAAAATCGGTCATATGCGCACTGTTACGTACCGATCAATAAGCTGATCGTAAACGCATTTATATCTCCCTATCGGATTATCGGATTCGATAGCCAAATTAATTTTCGAGATAGTCTGCGTTGAAAATGCACACACCGGTACGCAAAACATGTCCGACATGTTATCGCGAAATGAGGAACCGCGATTATCACTAATGTGACGGGAACTTGCAATCGCACTGTGTTACAGCGCTCTAGGCTCCTTCTACGTACCGATGCTAGTGATGTTATTTTTTTATTGGCGGATCTACAACGCCGCAGTTTCCACGACAAAAGCCATTAATCAGGGTTTTCGAACAACAAAAGCCTCGAAAATGTTTGGCACCAGGTAAATTCGCGTCAGTTTTTTTTTTTTTCACCGAAATTTCCGTATTCCTATAAACGGTGAATTTATTTTTTGTGATTCCTATAATCTATTTTCATCACTTATTTATGTTATGTATATACATTTGTTGAATTGATGCAAACATTTTTCATGTTAGTCTTTTTTTTTACTGAATCAATTATCTTATCAAACACCAATTATTTTACAAATTTTTAATATGTAAAACAAATTATTATTTTTTATTATTATTCACTCTTATTAAAATGATATCCCAAATAAATTATTTCAGCATTCAAGTATGTTTTTCCCTGTTTTCCTCTTTTGAGTCGTCATTTCGTTCGTACGTCTGTAGTTGAGTTTCTCCTCTGAGAAAGGAAGTCTTTTTATAGAAGCTTCATTATGCCGCTGACAGACATAATAGGAAATGCTTATGTAGATGCACAACAAGACGCATTTTCCTATTTTCATGCAGATTCGACGAACAAAGACTGACCTTACGAATACATCGTGGACGCGGTAGCGTCCACAACGGTAGCAACAACGGCAACTCGAGAAGTCCGGACTCGAGTAGCCGCAGCTCCGTCAAGCGGGAAAAGATCAAGATCTCGGTTTCCTATCCTAGTACCGAGACGCTCAACACGAAGTGCAATACCCTCGAGAGAACGCCATCGAGATGTTCGCAAATTTCGGTCCATTATAGCAACGGGCAGACGCAGACGCAGCTTTGTCCGAGCTCGCGAAACACGCATCTCAAGGTAAATTAACAAACTTCATTCAAAGACTTTTACCAGAGCGTAATTAATTGCTCGAGATGCACAGATCTTTTTCTGATTTTCCGATTCTTTTTTTCATATTCTCAGATGTTTTCTTCGTCATAAGATTACAATTTTGACATGTAACTTGTAATTTTTATAGCACCGAATATATCTACAAACAAATTATATTAAAAATTTATATACATATATTAATAATTTAATAATTTATATTATATATTATTATATAATTATATAAAGTATGAATATATATATCATATAAAAAAAAAATATATATATATACATATAAAGAAATCGGGAAAATAAAATCTATAACTCTCATCTACAACTCTGTGAAATGTGATGCTCAATGTGTGTAAATTTTACATTCCAGCGTCACGTTCCTACTGACGTATTGTCACTTCAATTTCAAGTGCACGCTTTTTATTGCCGATTAATCGAAGGCATTTTGTAAAATGAAACGAATCAAGGATCACTTTTTCGTTCAATAAAACCGAGGCACTCGTCCGATTGGACGGGGCTATCGAGCCGTATAAATTCACTATTTTTCCTCGTTTCCCTCGCTGTTTTGTTTCACGAGGATCTCGGAGCTTTTATTTGTCGTTTAAACCGTCGATCGTGATTATTCTCCCGCATGCGAGTCCGTATCGCGCAAATTTGCAGGCGAACGAAACGAAACAGGATATGGACACCATTGAGGGCTTTCATGTCATCTGTAATCGCTGATATCAATAAATACTCAGGAAAGAAATAAAAATATATCTCTTTCACCATTCATTTCATCTTGACAGGCACAAGTGACTTAACAGAGATATCATGCTGACAAATACGAATTAAATCCTCATATTTGAAATTACGAATATAAACATGAAGTAAAAATTAGCAAAGATTTTAATCGAGATGAAATTATCTCGATTAAAAGATTTCAATCAAGATAAATAATGACGAAGAATGTCACTGCATTTGCATCTAGGTGTGAATAAGTAAATTTCTCAAAAAATCTATAAATCGCAGTTTGCGACAGTTTACCTCTTTCGTGTTTTGGTTCCGTCCGTAAGAGATAGTGCGCGACGTCGAATGTCTAGCTGAATATGACACCATGTAGGCAACACTTTTTTAGAACGGTTACTCTAGACGCTGCACGTGATCGTGATTCGAAAGAACGATCATTTTACGCCGGTCCATAAATCTCGCTTCGAAAGTGAATCTGTATTTTATAGTATAGGCACGCGATGATGTGTGTATGTGTGCCGGAGTCGTAAAGGCCGACTTGTTAAATCCCCTTTCAGGTCGGTGGTGTCAATAGGGTCGGCAGCAGCAAAAGACCGAGCAGACGGAGCAGCTGCGAGAGTCAGGTGACCGGCGACGAGTTGTCGCTGCGCGAGATGACGCCGAGCAGCGAGGAGAAGCCGCGGGTGATGAAGCTGGGCAAGAGAAACATAAAAGCCCAAGTGCGTCTCACGTCGGCTCGTTTATGGCTTTCACACTTTAGCTCGAACCCATTTTTCAAACATCATATAAAAAACGAACGAGCATTAGTTCGAGATTAGTTTCGTAAGACATTACTTCCGAGGACAGAACTTTATTACTCTATTTCGGTCGAGCCGATTGGCGATTTCATCGGTATCGATATCGATATCATTTGTCGAAATTTCTTTGAATTATCAGATAACGTTAACGATGAAGATATTAACGCGTTATTAGAGAGTTGATATCTTTTTATTTTGTTAAAAGTAGTTGAGATATTCGATTTGGTGGCGATATGCGTGAGACGGAATCTGTATGCAGGTGAAGAGATTTCGCATGGAGACGAAGGCGGCGAAGACGCTGGGTATCATCGTCGGCGGTTTCATCATGTGCTGGCTGCCTTTCTTCACCATGTATCTGGTGCGCGCGTTCTGTCCGAATCACATCCATCCAACCGTCTTCAGCGTACTGTTTTGGCTAGGATACTGTAATTCCGCGATTAATCCGTGTATCTACGCTCTCTTCAGCAAGGACTTCCGCTTCGCTTTCAAGAGAATCATATGCTGCAGGTGTTCTTGCATACGACGCGCCAACACCCTGCGACGTGGCAGTGACGGCAGCCAGTTGGCAATGAGGTCAGTGTTACAATTTGTATTACAAAATAGAACGATGTTCCATTCTGCGATTTATTTTCGCATTCTCACGCCATATAAAAGAAACGCTTAAGTCGGCGTCGCAATTTGTATTACAAAGTGCGTGGCGCATTGTCGCAACTTGCGATTTATTTTTACGAGATCGCGCTCTCACGAGTGAAAGATGAAAGATTAAAGGAACCAATCATCTCGTTTATATTTTTAAGTTCGAGATTTACACTTGGAAAACCTTGCCAGTTTATAGCATATCGGTATTTTATTTGCCCGATTATTATCCGTATCCATTGAATCGCGGATGTGAAAAAAGCTTTTTAATATAGCTACATGAAAGAAAATCCCTGAATTTCATCATGTTTTATGAATCGTAAACGTATATATCATCACGAGTTCTATGTGGCGATTTATTTTTTTTCACTCGATTATATAAACGTCCTCTTGATTGCATAAAATAAAAAAACACAGGATCGGTTCTGTAATTTAAATTTAAATAATAGTCAATTTTTGCTAAATGGTATTGCAAAATATAGCTTTTGTAAATTTTGTGGATTTTAAACTTCAATTTTTTTGAAAACAAAAAAATATTGCCGCTCTCACAAGCAATCGACGATATTCGGCGACACTCGTATCTTTGCGCTTGTACATACGTCTCACGGAGACGATTCTACACGTGTTCCGTAGGAACGAACGAAGTCCTAGTTATTCGATCCGCATGGCTCACCACGGGATCTCCATCGACGATTCGGATCCGGACCCGTCGGAGCCGACTCATTCGCAAAGTGAGTCCAGATGATTGTAGCGTCATGTCCGAGCTGGCACGCAGCGCGTCACCTTCAATTCCCGATCCTCCAAGGCGAGGATATTCTCCTTCTGATGATGGCGGTGGTGTCCCGAGAATCGCATATCCGGGCCCTCACGTCACGATGATGACGACGACGGCGACGGCGACGGAGTCGTGGTCTCCCCGACTTCGGTGTGTGCCAACGTAAATCAGTTTCGCCATTCTGCCAGAACTGACGTTGCGTGAGTGTTTCGCGTAAATTAGACACCCGGTGAAGCTGGGAAACGGCCCTGATTCTATCTCCGACACGTCGCGAATCGGATAGACATCGGGTAACAGTCAACTAACAAGCGACAACTAACGAGCGAGCAACGGTGCGACTTGTTTAGCTTGCCCTGTTATTCTTGCCGTTGCAAAAAGAAAAGCCAATGATTGTCCATATAATCTCGCGTACGACGACGGGTTAGACGAGTTTACACCAAGGGGAGATAAAAGCCAGATAGTTTCTCGAGTGAGGTGAGCAAATAATTCGCCGCTTGATCTGCTTCCTCCTCGCTAAATCGCATAATTTCGCTGTAACGAGTTTACACGAGGAGAGGGGGAGCGATGGGGATGGGTAGGTCAAGTAACGGACTGCTCTTCTCGCTTTTCTGTCATCTATCATTGGGGTGACGGAGGGGGAGGGGGAGAGGGGGAGCGGCAAAAAAGGAAGAAAAAGAAAGCGTAAGTAGATTGCCGTTTGCCTTTGCGCTGTAATTGCGGCGAGATCGATGAAAACGGAGTGCCAAGGTGGAACTCTGCCGTTGCGCGTTCACTCGGAATTGGATTTTAGCGCGACAGGCCTGGAACGCGGCGCTTTATTTGCAAAAGAAAAAAAAGAATACGGGAGGAAAAAGAGAAAGAGGAAAAGGGAAAATTGGCTTCCGTACGCGGCCTCGTCACGGTGTTCCGCTTTAATTTGTACTTTTGGGCGACACGAAGAGCTTCGCGCGGTTCACTCCTCGTAGGAGGACCGTCCTCTCGCGATCACACGCGGTAAAATCATCCGTACACGCTTATAGTATACGTTACCTGTGTACTCTCACACGGATTAACCGAAGGGGTAATCGACCCGTTTGCCGGTAATGTTAATCTTCGATTCGAACAATGTGTGTAACGCAATTCGGTGTGCCTTCTTTCGTCATCCCACGTAGTAGACGTGCACCGTTTTTCGTGACGTTTCGAGAAAAATAATCCGCCCCCCCCCGTTCTTCCACATACAGAGTCATTTTGCAATATTATTTATTTGTTCCAAATACGACTCGCGCGTGTGCGACTCGTTACGTGTCGTGTAGCTTCTAGTCCCTAAGTCCTTTCCTCGAGCGGACGATCGGTCGACCAATAATTGATCGTCCTCGCTCGTCCGCGCGTTCGTCCCATCGGAAGATCTGCGCTTAGAAGATTTGAGAATCGTCGCGAGAATCACCTCTCACTCCCGAGCCATGGAAAGAAGCGGGAGTTGGACAACGCTCGCGTTTGATCGAGGCGCGGATGTCGAACGAGCGACACGGACTTCCTATGTACATACATACCGATGTCTATGTGTACGCAACAACACGCTAAGTTGTTATCTTCTATATAACCGATGTTCGCGCGCACGCTCGCATAAATCGGCGTTTCTCCTCCCCCATCTTCTTCCCCTTTTTTTTGTATTCGATCGATTTTTCGAAATGCAGGCGGAATAAAATTTAGCAACGCTTCGACGCCGTTGATTCCTGCGTTTCTTCTCTTATCCCACGCACAATAAACATTTGCTCCACGTTGCCACGCGTGTGAAATGTACACGTGTTACTTTGACTAATTGAGCGACACGCGCGGATATTGTTAAAACGGCGTTATGAAAAGATTCGATGTCTCCCACGCGTCCTCGCAGAATTTTTCGATTCACCCCCCCCCTATTGCTGTCGTAGCTTTTTGCAATTGTAATTCGACGGGGGCGGCGAGACGGCCGATCGATTTAAAGAAGAAAACGCGTGATTCATGTATTATGTGATATATCGCATAAATAAGTAACAAAACGGATGGAAATAAATATGTGAGTACGTATAAACGGATCCGTGATCTTCTTAATTTTTCATACTAATTAATTTTTCATACTAATTTTTGTCACACCCTGAGAAATTCAACGGTGGAAACGAGGTCTCGTTTCAAGGTACGTATTAAATCAATATTAATTGGAAATCTTAAAAAAAAAAACAAGGAACAGCAGAATTTTTATATAATTATTTTCAGATAATTATCTAAAAAACAATCATTGTTTGTATATATCGTTACTAAATGTTATTCTCGGTTATAAAAATATCCTTTTCGATTATAAAATTAAAGGAGACAATTAAAGAAGATACGATGCATCTAAGGAAATTTCTTTTTATTCATATTTTATTCATATTTTAAAATCACATTTTTCGAAATCAAATACTAATTATGCAGTCCTGATTACTGGCAACTTGTAAAATATTCGTGATACACGCGAATCACAATCATATTTCACAATTGAGCATTTTGATTATTTCGTTTTCCCATGACTTCGTTATGGGTTTGTCACGTTTCCCTTGCCGCCGTCTCCCTCGGGACTCTAATTTGCAACAATTCGATCTGGATCTCCTCGACACTTCTGCCCTTCGTCTCCGGCACTATCACAGAGACGAATATGGTTCCGATTAAACTTATCATGCCGAATGTGGCGAATGACGAGGAGAGTCCCATGAGATCCACCATGTCCTGAAAGCATTTCGTCACCAGGAAAGTCAGCGTCCAGTTACATATCACAGTGGCAGTGCTCGCTACGCTCTTCATGTTGTTCGTGAACAACTCGCCGACCATCAACCACGGTATAGGACCGAAGCCAATGCTGAAAATCACGATGAATATCACGAATGAGAGCAGAGGAAGCCAGGTGAAATTCGAGAGATCGTACGATTTCTGAAACAACCACGAGAGAAATTCACAAATCCACTTGAGACATTTCGGTACAGAAACATGAAGTTACAGCTATTGAAAATTTACTTAAATTTGATGACAATTAATATTTTTAATATTTTTAAATATTTAAAGAGTTATAGATTCGCAATTTAATATCTTTTTTTATTATAATAATTAAAAAAAGAAAGGTATTATCGAAAAGATATTATTAAAATTAAATAATTTGTTAATATTTCAAACTTTTTACCTGAAAACGAAAGTATCCCGACAATATGAACATACAATTGGCCATCACTGACGCACTGATGAACAATAATAGTTTTCTGCCAATGCGCTCGATCATAACGGTCGAAAAGTAAGTGGCGATCACTTGTACGACACCGACGATTACCGACGACGTGGACGAGCTCAGAATTGAACCCGCGTGGTCGAAGATTCTTTTTGCATAGAATATCAGAGCGTTAACGCCGGAAAGTTGTTGGAAAACCATTAGGCCTAAAACGTTATTAAATTAATAAAATCAATAAATACTAGAAAAACTCAATTAGCTTGATAAAATTAATTAAATAATTAACCACTGTAATAAAATGTTACATAGTAATTAGTTTGATTTAATTAATTGGTAATTTAACTAAATTAAACTGTTTCTGATTACCGAGTACAATGTAGGTGGCTTTGCGATAATTTCTCAAATCCAAAATACTGGCTCTGGCATCTCGCGTTTCTGATGCTTGGAGCTCAAGGCTGGCCAGTTCCGTCTCGGTGCGGTAGTGCATCCCTCTAAAGTATTTCAGCACGTCACACGCCTCGTTTTTCCGACCTTGCATGACCAGCCATGCCGGTGATTCCGGTATGAACGGGAAGAAAATTAAAAGCAAAGCGGGCGCCATGGAACAAAGTATCGCGATGACGTGCAAGCTATCGGTAAAAGCTGCAAACGCAATGTCATTATTTCAACGCTTATCATTTCAGGAAAGTTATTGTGTAGTTGCGTTCCAGAACTCTCGCGATGAATTTGAATTTTATTGTTGCGTTGCGAACGCCATCAAACTATATAATGATCAAAATTTAGATCTCTTTATAATGACGTCTTTTGTTCTCCGCGTTATTAAAATTCTGACATCACGGATGAGTACGAGAGAGGAGAAATAACATTCGCATATTATGACAAATTAAGATTGACAGTTATGAATTGCAATTATTAACAGAAATTATTTATATTAATTTTGTTAAAATCGGTGATGAAAATAATAATATATATTCGATGCATGTTGATGCATTTCTAATTTTAACTTAATAGATTTTGCGCGACACCAAATTCACATATCGTGAAATTGATCGGCATTAAAAATAAACTTATAAAAGAGAAATGCATTCTTTACCAGTAGCATACGCGAAGAGAATTCCGGCAGTAATCTGCAACTGAAAAATGGTGCCAAGCAAGCCCCTAATGCTCTGCTCGGCAATCTCAGAAGTGAACATGGGAACAACGACGGATGCTGCGCCGCATGCTGCCCCCGCAATAAACCGAGCTAGGAAAACCCTTTTGACGGAAAAACTCGATTACGTAACGTAAGTAGAAAATCAATGAAACTGTACCTATAATAAAATCGTTATCGTTGGCTGGGAACGCAGCCAATATGATTGATGAATAAAATGATTTCGTGATTAACAGTAGACTTTTATGAAAGTTTATGGCTCGTAATTTTCAATTCACAGCTATCAAGCAAAGCCGTTATTACAAACAAGTGTGTATGGCACACTTATGGCACATCTATCGAAAATAATATAAAAATACTATAGATGTTATTGTAATTCAAGCTAGGATTTTTTAACCGATGACTATCGGCTTTGCTTCTAAAAGTATCAATAAATTCGCAATAAAAATATCATCACGTTTATCATTACATTTAAGATATATGTATATTGATAAATATTTATTGATAAAAACAAACTGAGAATACTAGGGAGAGTTTAATTTACTAATTGTTTAGGATAACCAACTTTTTCTGATAATGTTCAATTTTTATGCAAACTAATGATAAAAGCCATTGAAAGTATGACTTGGATATATAATATTTTTTATTTTTATAATAGAAAATTTTATTTATTTTTTTTTTCATTTTTTTTATAAGTTATACAAATTAAATTTTTATTATTTTATTATCGACATAGTCACGCAATAAAATCGCGAATAAAATGCTAAGGCTATGTTGAAATAAGAGAACCTTACCAAATCTTATTGAAATAAGAGAACCTTACTATATCTTATTGAAATAAGAGAACCTTACCATATCTTACTCTGCGCGAATCCAACAATGTACCAACATAAAAATAAAGGTAAGGTTGTCACCCAAATTGTCTTCTTCCGACCAAATCTATCTGCCAACATTCCCGCTGGAATAGCGGTCGGGATAGCGCCGAGCGGGACCAAGGAAGAAATCCAGGAACCTTCCTGATCGCTGACAGACAACGTGTCATTCTTGTTGTAAAATGGCAAAGCGGACGACGTCCACGACAAATACGTGCCAATCGAGAACGCGCCGAGTGTCGCTAAGCGGTAACAGAAAGTAAATGTCAGACACGTTTCATCTCGTAAAATGCCTCTTGAGAAATATTTTATTTGATCTATCTCGGGAAATATTTTATCTTCGACAACGTTATGTCTTGAGGATTCTTCCGCTTCGCGCTACACTTGATATTCTTCGCTTAGAGATCCCACGGGCATGCGGCGACGGAAACGCAAAGTTACAGTCAAGTTAAATTACAGTTGAGAGACGTCTATCGAAAGAGATGGTTTTAACTACGCGACGAACTTTCGATTAAATTAAGACACGCGAAGATTAATGTCGGCAATCGCGCGCGTTAATAATCGCGGCTTTTTTCAAAGCTTTGCTTTCGAAGCTTCCGAAAGTCACAAAAAGATGAGAGGAGAGATGAATTTATTCGTTTTTATATCCTTTAAAATCTCTCTTTAGTCGAGTAAACGTTTGCATTTGGATTTACTGTTTTTCAACTATTTCGCGACTATTAAATATTCATGTGTAAGTGTAAGCCGCATCTCAATATCGCGCGAGTTCACGGGAGGATTAAGCGCGCCCACCCACAAAACTCACCCACAAGCACGCCCACGTATTGTGTGTATTTCGAAGTCGGTCGCTCGCGCGACGAGCTCTCGTCGCTCTCTGCGATTAA